TAAGTGTTTCAGCATAAATGAAACGGACAAGGTTGTGACATAAGACAAACTAACTAAACCCTTTCTAATGTTTCAGAGTATAAGTTAACATTTACACCAACCTCTGTAATGACAACAAGCTCACGCTGAGGTCAATTATAAATGTGTTTACAACAGATGTAAATCATATGATAATTTATTGTACAGTAGAACCTTAACACTCCAATAAGCTCTTATATTTATGTGTGAATTTTATAACAAATCTAAATACAATAAGGATTGTCTCACACTTGTTATGTTAAAAAATTACAAATTCATTATTTGTAACGTGATATAAGTAATCATCAGCATCAATTAATTATCTTATATTGCTGTCTTAATGAGCTTACAGTATTGCTTTAAAATAATTACTAAGAAAAATGTCCACTATTATAACATCTTATATTACAAAGCTGTTCTATGCACTGGACACCCATCTTATTGGTGTCACGGACAGTACTGGATAGGGTTCCCCATATTAGTCGGGTCACGACTGAGAACGAAAGGCTGCCTCTCTCCTTCAGGTCAGGTCAGTTCCCTCATTTTTTTCGATGTTAAATTAGTTCTCGCTATTTAAAGTTAAAGTTTATTGTAGGTTTATATTGTTTTTACAAGTATCATTCACAGTTGTCTTTCTTTTTCCCTAAATCTTTTATGTTTTATTAGTTTCTTCCTTTAGAATTAAAAGTGTAGGGGAAGGTCTTGACCAGAGCAAGGTATGAGCACCTTTACCTCACATGATTTGATTAAATTTTTCTATTACCCTATAGTATAGAGCATTGTCTTCATACTTCACTGAAACTCACTTCTTACTCGAGAACAACCTTGGGCAGACACTAGAAACGACTTTCGAGTGTTTCTGTTGACCATCGTCATTTACAAGGGGACTTTATTGGTACTTTACCTATGCTCGCGGGCAGTGTGCCACCGAAAGCTAGCAAATATTCTCTGAGCCAAACAAAGCCTTGGACATTAATTTACAATCCAGAGAGCTTAAAAGTAAATGGCATAAACTCAAAACTGGACCCAGGAATGTCAAAACATTTTGTGGAGGAAAACTGTCACTTTATATATTCAAGTAGAGAAGTATGGGTATTCTTATAAAGAGTTAGGTATATATATAACCCCTTGTGTGCCCCCCCCCCCAATCTGAGCTGGATAAAATTGCTTGATGTTTGACAAATAAATTATAAGTGGCGTCCCTGTAGTGAAGGGGTTAGTGGTGAGAGTCTATTAAAGTGATATTGGGCAGTGTCATAAAGTTAAGTCACCAAGTTGCTAAATCCATGGACTTGTAAACACCTTAGTTTTATACACCATCATATAATGTAAAGGATAAGAACTAAATATTTTTGTCAAGACTTTTAGAAGAAAAACACAGTTAGTATTCGATTTTAGTGATTAATTTTACTGCACAGCTACAGTTAGTAAAGGAGAAGGAGCAACAGAAGTAAGATAACTCGGATGGGTAACACAAATAACATCTTAAGAAATCAAATGGATTTTAGTTTATTCAAAATTATTCGATAATGAGACTGAGACTTTCCCGGGAAAATAATGTGCGTGAGACCAGGTCCAGCTAATTAATTCAGTGAGCTTAAGGTATTAGAGAGAAAAATGATGGATAAAATCAGATTTGATTTAGCGTAATTGGAAATAGTGACATTGATTGTACATGAAATTGTAAGCTAAACATATTTATAATTGTTTTAAGCAGGACTTTAGAAAAAAATAGGACCTAAGTTAATTAATTTGAACGAATAATATCATGTATTGGATAAAGTTAGTAGGGCAGAGAGGCCAGGCTTTAGCTAACTCGATTACAAAATAAAAGAAATAATATTAAAAAAATGGCCAGAGGTGAGGAATATAAAGAACTTCAAGGAGACATTAAGTGATGACAGGAACCGTAACCTCCAATACTGCACAAAAAGATAATGAACAATAAAATAGGACGTAAAAGATGAAAAAAGAGAGGCGGGCAAAGTGTGTACATGAAGAGTATAATGATAATGATAGAGTGGAACTAAGAAACGACAAGATAATAAACATCATGTTATCGATTTTGGAGACAATTTGGAGGATCTGCCAACAATGAGACGTGATAAGGCTAGTGAGAAGCAATGGGAAATACTTGACTAGAATACATTACTTTATCTGTTACAAAAAGCCTTCCTGAGGAGTCTTAGAGAGCAGGCAACTTGGGGTAATTAGCTCAGTAAGAATAGAGATTGAGTTATCTGAGATCTAACTGGATTTAGAAAGGAAGAAGAACCGAACAAGGTATTTTTGGTTGAAATCTTAAAAGAAAAAGGTTGGAAGTCCTAAAAATATATTTCATATGATTTGTGGATTTTCGAAGTTCTGGGTAGAATCAAACATAATACTCGTTTAGAGATGCATTAATGGCGGGGGATCATATAATTCTTAAAAATATTTACTGTCATCAAGAAACGGTAGTGTTTGTAGACACTGAATTTACTAGTTATTTTAGGTATAGAAACAGAGTTAGACAAGGCTGTATGCTCTATCTTCATCAGTATGCATAACTAATCACTGTACTCCTTAACGTGACAAGCTGTAAGTAGCGATGAAAGAATGAAAAAAATTACAGAAAATTTATATCATATATTCGGTATGTAGACGATACTTATTTTATAACAGATAATGAAGAAGAATTACCAAGTCGTTCAACAGATTAGTGGTAAACAGGGAAGGATTTGGGCTTACTGTTGTAAAGAGGAAGTAATGATTGTTTCAAAATTAAAATTAAATCCTAAAATTAGAATTATTATAGGTAAATAAGAACCTAACCCTTCACTACGGAGGCGCTACTTCAAATATTTTATTAATGCCAGTTGATTTTATTCAGCAGAGAGTGGTGAGTGGTGAGCTGACAATTTTACATCAGTAGCTTTGTAACGTCTGCGTGGTAATTATTTATTGAAAGTATTAGGTGTCGGAGACAGTGCCGGATTTAGACCTGTGGAGGCCCATGGGGAGCCTCTTTGTGGAGGCCCCCTCATTATAACTACCCAAGAGGGTGGGGTGGCGAGTGAAGCGAGCCTAAACATTGGGAGTACAGGAGGGCGCTGTAAGCCCCCCGGGAACATTTTGAAATTTTAACACTTCTTTGGAGAATTTTGAAGCCATATGCAGTTATATTGAGGAAATTAGAACATATTGTAATATGTGGAGGCCCCTAGGCAGCTGCCCACTCCTGAATCCGGCCCTGGTTGGAGATAAGTCATTGATTTTTCTCTATATTGTTTATAATCCTTGATTCACTTGTCTATATGGGGATTATTATTATTATTATTGCCGTGTTGCTCATTATTAACCTGATGAGTGGACTGTATATAACCATCAGATTTGTTCGTTGGACTGAGCCGAGTTAATTAGTTCCCGTAATTTACTTTTAATTTTGGTGAATTAGTTTACAATAAATAATCAAGATGTATTATAATTGTATTATATATACTAGTTTTATGCAATAACACTGAGCCTGTCAGTGTAAAATATAAACTTGGAAATTTGAATGTTACAACGCGCAGTGGGGTGACGTCATTGGCTGGCTGGCTCTTCGACAAAGAGAGCTGTTTACTCCAATCGATAGAGATAGCAGAACGAGATTGACCACTGAACCAGACAGACTATTTGGAGAAGGACGAACGTTATCAGCGTAGCAATTAAACCCAACATTGACAGAGCCATATCGTAGTCAAGATATTAAGGATTCATAATCGCTTCATGATGTCAAATCACCAAAAGCTGGACAATTTTAGGAACTAGGAATATATGGACCGAGAATTTGGAAATTTTCAGTAGACGCCATTAAGGCCTTCGAATTGGGGTGTTAAAGGAGAACGTCGACCATTAGTTATACTGACAATAAAATAGATTAGGGAGTGCAAAGATTACTTAGAGCAACGAGAGAAATATTGAAGGTGTACAGACATGAAACAGTGAAAAATTTAGACATATAATCATAGATGAGGAAATAATTATAGAACTATTATTGGGTAAAGATAAGGATAGAAGTGTAATCCGTAGCCAGATATTGGGACGGTGAATGATATTTAGCTGAGACCAGACAACATTTGGAGTGGAAAGCCATGGTGGCCAACCCTCAGGCGAGAGAGACTGCCACCTTTATTGATCGATTCACTGCCATACTGGTTATAATGTGACGATATTATAAAGTTATCCACTGTTTATCATTCATCTTAAAAGGTGATTATTTATATAAATTTTCACTGTTAAAACATAGTCTTTGTTATTTTAGTGTGTAATTTGTGGTACTGTATTATTGTAATTACTTATAAAATCGTTCATCTTTGTGATATATGTTACATTAATATGTTATTAGTCCACTGTTGTACCATCACATTTGGTTATCATTTAGTTATCACCTTTCCCTCAGCTTATGCTATTATCCGACATCCCTTTATCTGATTATTTTACCAATATTAGTCTTTTTTCCATGTCTTCCTGAAAGTAACTTTTTTTTTTCAGTAGCCTTACATTTCAAAGGCGTCTGACATCCTTCTGGTGTTTACTGAAATGTGACCTCGCTTCTGACCCATACATCAGTACACAGTATTTCAACAAACTTTTTCTCAAGTTGAAATTAATGTTTAATTCTATCAATTTTCTTAGGTTATTAAATGCTGGTCTTCCTTGATCTATACTTGCTTTATTTCTTTTGTCCCTCTACCATCACTGTTAATGCAACTTCTTAAATACACAAAAACATTTCAGTTGGTAAAGTTCCCTATTGCCTATTATACTTTTTTTTTTGGTCATTTCTAATTTGAAAACAACCATTAATTTTTTCTTTACGGCATTAAATGTCAGCCGATAATTTTTTTAATTTTTCCAATTATTTGTTAGTCAGTTCTTGTAAAACTTCCCCACTATCCGTGATGAGGGTAATAACATCTGTATAGAGTAAATCTGAAATTGACTTCATAACTAATCTTTCATTCAAGAACGTGGCTCCTGTTCCAGAGGTCGGTGGGTTTCCCGAGTTCTCCCAGTTCACACAGCTGTAAATGAATACCTAAGTTGGGGAAGTCAATGCGATAGAGGACAGTACCGACCATGTTGCCTCCTTGTGTACCAAAGACTCAGTAAACAGCAGTGTGCTATATCCACATTGTCCATAAAGGCCATTCATGCCTATGGAACCCACTTTCATTTCAATATCTATTCCTTCACCGCTACTTACAACTTGTCTCATTAAAATTCTAGATATGTATCATAATTATATAGTTACAATAGTGTGATGTTAAAGGGTGGCGGGTGAAACTTGTAAAGCACGTGGTATGTCCTCTGCCCTGACCTGGAGGAATATCCTCCACAGCAGGTCCGGGAGATATTACTGTGTCCTGACCTGGAGGAACATCTCCCACAGGCCGGGAGATATTACTGTGTCCTGACCTGGAGGAATATCTCCCACAACAGGTCCGGGAGATATTACTGTGTCCTGACCTGGAGAATATCTCCCACAGCAGGTCCGAGAGATATTACTGTGTCCTGGCCTGGAGGAATATCTCACAACAGGTCAGGAGATATTACTGTGATATGGCCTGGAGGAGTATCTCCACAGCAGGTCCGAGATATTACTGTGTCCTGGCCTGGAGGAATATCTCCCCAGCAGGTCCGGGAGATTACTGCGTCCTGGCCTGGAGGAATATCTCCCACAACAGGTCGGAGATATTACTTTGTGTCTAGATGGAATATCTCACAACAGGTCGGGAGATATTACTGTGTCTGGCTGGAGGAATATCTCTCACAACAGGGCCGGGAGATATTACTGTGTCCTGGCCTGGAGGAATATCTCCCACAGGTCCGGGGACTGTGTCCTGACCTGGAGGAATATCTGCCACAACAGGTCCGGGAGATATTGCTGCGTCCCGGCCTGGAGGAATATCTCCACAGCAGGTTTGGGAGATATTAATACGCCTGGCTGGAGGAATATCTCCCACAACAGGTCCGGGGAGATATTACTGACGCCCTGGCCTGGAGGAATATCTCCCACAGCAGGTCTGGGAGATATTAATACGCCTGGCCTGGAGGAATATCTCCCACAGCAGGTCTGGGAGATATTACCGTGTCCTGACCTGGAGGAATATCTCCCACAGCAGGTTCGGGAGATATTAATGCGCCCTGGCCTGGAGGAATATCTCCCACAACAGGTGGAGATATTACTGTGTCCTGACCTGGAGGAATATCTGCCACAACAGGTCCGGGAGATATTGCTGCGTCCTGGCCTGGAGGAATATCACAACAGGTTTGGGAGATATTAATGCGCCTGGCCTGGAGGAATATCTCCCAACAGGTCTGGGAGATATTAATACGCCCTGGCCTGGAGGAATATCCCACAGCAGGTCTGGGAGATATTATAGCGCCCTGGCCTGGAGGAATATCTCCCACAGCAGGTCTGGGAGATATTACGTGTCTGACCTGGAGGAATATCTCCCACAGCAGGTCCGGGATATATTAAAGCGGCCTGGAGAATATCCCCACAGCAGGTCTGGGAGATATTAATACGCCTGGCCTGGAGAAATATCTCACAGCAGGTCAGGGGATATAATGAGCCCTGGCCTGGAGAATATCTCCCGGTTTGGGAGATAATGCCCTAGCCTGGAGGATCTCACAGCAGGTCTGGGAGATATTAATACGCCCTGGCCTGGAGGAATATCTCCCACAGCAGGTCTGGGAGATATTAATAGCGCCCTGGCCTGGAGAATATCTCCCATAGCAGGTCTGGGAGATATTATGCGCCTGGCCTGGAGGAATATCTCCCACAGCAGGTCCAGGAGATATTATACGCCCTGGCCTGGAGGAATATCTCCCACAGCAGGTCTGGAGATATTACCGTGTTCTGACCTGGAGGAATATCTCCCACAGGGTTCGGGAGATATTAATGCCTGGCCTGGAGGAATATCTCCCACAACAGGTCGGGAGATATTACTGTGTCTGACCTGGAGGAATATCTGCCACAACAGGTCCGGAGATATTGCTGCGTCCCTGGCCTGGAGGAATATCTCCCCAACAGGTTTGGGAGATATTTATACGCCCTGGCCTGGAGGAATATCTCCACAACAGGTCTGGGAGATATTAATACGCACTGGAGGAATATCTCCACAACAGGTCTGGGAGATATGTACGCCCTGGCCTGGAGAATATCTCCCACAGCAGGTCTGGGAGATATTACTGTGTCCTGACCTGGAGAATATCTCCACAGCAGGTCCGGAGGATATATTAATGCGCCCTGGCCTGGAGGAATATCCCCCACAGCAGGTCTGGAGATATTAATACGCCTGGCCTGGAGAAATATCTCCCACAGCAGGTCTGGGAGATATATACGCCCTGGCCTGGAGGAATATCTCCCACAGCAGGTCTGGGAGATAAATGTACGCCTGGCCTGGAGGAATATCTCCCACAGCAGGTCTGGGAGATATATACGCCCTGGCCTGGAGGAATATCTCCCACAGCAGGTCTGGGAGGCCCTGGCACCCTGGCAGGATATCTCCCATAGCAGGTCTGGGAGATATTTCTGTGTGTCCGGCCTAGAGGAATATCTCCACAACAGGTCTGGGAGATATTAGCCACCTGGCCTGGAGGAATATCCTCACAGCAGGTCTGGGAATGCATTGCGCCCTGGCCTGGAGGAATATCTCCCACAGCAGGTCTGGGAGATATTAATACGCCCTGGCCTGGAGGAATATCTCCCACAACAGGTCTGGGAGATATTAATATACGCCCTGGCCTGGAGAATATCTCCCACAACAGGTCTGGGAGATATGTACGCCCTGGCCTGGAGGAATATCTCCCCATAGCAGGTCTGGGAGATATTAGCTACGCCCTGGCCTGGAGAATATCTACAGCAGGTCTGGGGATATTAATACGCCTGGCCTGGAGGAATATCTCCCACAGCAGGTCTGGGAGATATTAATACGCCCTGGCCTGGAGAATGTCTCCCACAGCAGGTCTGGGAGATATTGTACGCCTTGGCCTGGAGGAATATCTCCCACAGCAGGTCTGGGAGATATTAATACGCCCTGGCCTGGAGGAATATATAGCAGGTCTGGAGATATTTCTGTGTCTGGCCTGAGGAATATCTCACAACAGGTCAGGGAGATATTACTGTGTCCTGACCTGGAGGAATATATCCCGCAGCAGGTCTGGTAGATATGCATACATACGGAGGAATATCTCAGCAGGTCTGGGAGATATCAATGCGCCCTGGCCTGGAGGTCTCCCCATGCAGGTCTGGGAGATATTTCTGTGTCCTGGCCTAGAGGAATATCTCCCACAACAGGTCCGGGAGATATTACTGTGTCTGCTTGCCTGGAGGAATATCTCCCACAACAGGTCCGGGAGATATTTCTGTGTCCTGGCCTGGAGGAATATCTCCCATAGCAGGTCTGGGAGATATTTCTGTGTCCTGGCCTAGAGGAATATCTCCCACAACAGGTCCGGGAGATATTACTGTGTCCTGGCCTAGAGGAATATCTCCCACAACAGGTCGGGGAGATATTACTGTGTCCTGACCTGGAGGAATATCTCCCACAATAGGTCCGGGAGATATTAATGCGCCCTGGCCTGGAGGAATATCTCCCACAATAGGTCCGGGAGATATTACTGTGTCCTGGCCTGGAGGAATATCTCCCACAGCAGGTCTGGGAGATATTAATACGCCCTGGCCTGGAGGAATATCTCCCATAGCAGGTCTGGGAGATATTTCTGTGTCCTGGCCTAGAGGAATATCTCCCACAACAGGTCCGGGAGATATTTCTGTGTCCTGACCTGGAGGAATATCTCCCACAGCAGGTCTGGGAGATATTAATACCCCCTGGCCTGGAGGAATATCTCCCATAGCAGGACTGGGAGATATTTCTGTGTCCTGGCCTAGAGGAATATCTCCCACAACAGGTCCGGGAGATATTACTGTGTCCTGACCTGGAGGAATATCTCCCACAGCAGGTCTGGGAGATATTAATACGCCCTGGCCTGGAGGAATATCTCCCATAGCAGGTCTGGGAGATATTTCTGTGTCCTGGCCTGGAGGAATATCTCCCACAACAGGTCCGGGAGATATTACTGTGTCCTGGCCTGGGGGAATATCTCCCACAACAAGTCCGGGAGATATTTCTGTGTCCTGGCCTAGAGGAATATCTCCCACAACAGGTCCGGGAGATATTACTGTGTCCTGACCTGGAGGAATATCTCCCACAACAAGTCCGGGAGACATTTCTGTGTCCTGGCCTGGAGGAATATCTCCCACAATAGGTCCGGGAGATATTAATGCGCCCTGGCCTGGAGGAATATCACCCACAATAGGTCCGGGAGATATTACTGTGTCCTGGCCTGGGGGAATATCTCCCACAACAAGTCCGAGAGATATTACTGTGTCCTGACCTGGAGGAATATCTCCCACAATAGGTCCGGGAGATATTAATGCGCCCTGGCCTGGAGGAATATCTCCCCCAATAGGTCCGGGAGATATTACTGTGTCCTGGCCTGGAGGAATATCTCCCACAACAGGTCCGGGAGATATTACTGTGTCCTGACCTGGAGGAATATCTGCCACAGCAGGTCCGGGAGATATTACTGTGTCCTGGCTTGGAGGAATATCTCCCATAACAGGTCCGGGAGATATTACTGTGTCGTGGATTGGAGGAATATCTCCCACAACAGGTCCGGGAGATATTAATGCGTCCTTGCCTGGTGGAATATTTCCGACAACAGGTTTGGGAGATATTACTTTGTCCTGGCCTGGAGGAATATCTCCCACAACAGGTCCGGGAGATATTACTGTGTCCTGACCTGGAGGAATATCTCCCACAACAGGTCGGGGAGATATTACTGTGTCCTGGCCTGGAGGAATATCTCCCACAACACGTTTGGGAGATATTACTGCGTCCTGACCTGGAGGAATATCTCCCACAACAGATCCGGGAGATATTACTGTGTCCTGACCTGGAGGAATATCTCCCACAACAGGTTTGGGAGACATTACTTTGTCCTGGCCGGGAGAAATATCTCCCACAACAGGTCCGGGAGATATTACTGTGTCCTGACCTGGAGGAATATCTGCCACAGCAGGTCCGGGAGATATTACTGCGTCTTGGCCTGGAGGAATATCTCCCACAACAGGTCTGGGAGATATTACTGTGTCCTGGCCTGGAGGATTATCTCCCACAACAGGTCCGGGAGATATTACTGCGTCCTGGCCTGGAGGAATATCTCCCACAACAGGTTTGGGAGATATCAATAAGCCCTGGCCTGTAGGAATATCTCCCGCAACAGGTCTGGGAGATATTAATACGCCCTGGCCTGGAGGAATATCTCCCACAGCAGGTCTGATAGATATTACCGTGTCCTTACCTGGAGGAATATCTCCCACAGCAGGTCTGGGAGATATTAATACGCCCTGGCCTGGAGGAATATCTCCCACAACAGGACTGGGAGATATTACTGTGTCCTGGCCTGGAGGAATATCTCCCACAACAGGTCCGGAAGATATTACTGTGTCCTGACCTGGAGGAATATCTGCCACAACAGGTCCGGGAGATATTACTGCGTCCTGGTCTGGAGGAATATCTCCCACAACAGGTTTGGGAGATATCAATACGCCCTGGCCTGGAGGAATATCTCCCACAACAGGTCTGGGAGATATTAATACGCCCTGGCCTGGAGGAATATCTCCCACAACAGGTCCGGGAGATATTACTGTGTCCTGACCTGGAGGAATATCTCCCACAATAGGTCCGGGAGATATTAATGCGCTCTGGCCTGGAGGAATATCTCCCACAACAGGTCCGGGAGATATTACTGTGTCCTGACCTGGAGGAATATCTCCCGCAGTAGGTCCGGGAGATATTTCTGTGTCCTGGCCTGGAGGAATATCTCCCACATCAGGTCCGGGAGATGTTACTGCGTCCTGGCCTGGTGGAATATCTCCCACAATAGGTCCGGGAGATATTAATGCGCCCTGGCCTGGACGAATATCTCCCACAACAAGTCCGGGAGATATTACTGTGTCCTGACCTGGAGGAATATCTCCCGCAACAGGTCCGGGAAATATTTCTGCGTCCTGTCCTGGGGGATTATCTCCCACAGCAGGTCCGGGAGATTTTAATGCGCCCTGGCCTGCAGGAATATCTCCCACAGCAGGTCTGGGAGATGTTAATACGCCCTGGCCTGGAGGAATATCTCCCACAACAGGTCTGGGAGATATTAATACGCCCTGGCCTGGAGGAATATCTCCCACAGCAGGTCTGGGAGATATTAATGAGCCCTGGCTTGGAGGAATATCTCCCACAACAGGTACGAGAGATATTACTGTGTCCTGACCTGGAGGAATATCTCCCACAGCAGGTCTGGGAGCTATTAATACGCCCTGGCCTGTAGGAATATCTCCCACAGCAGGTCTGGGAGATATTAATACGCCCTGGCCTGGAGGAATATCTCCCACAACAGGTCTGGGAGATATTAATACACCCTGGCCTGGAGGAATATCTCCCACAAAAGGTCTGGGAGATATTAATACGCCCTGGCCTGGAGGAATATCATCGACAACAGGTCTGGGAGATATTAATACGCCCTGGCCTGGAGGAATATCTCCCACAGCAGGTCTGGGAGATATTAATGAGCCCTGGCTTGGAGGAATATCTCCCACAACAGGTACGAGAGATATTACTGTGTCCTGACCTGGAGGAATATCTCTCACAGCAGGTCTGGGAGCTATTAATACGCCCTGGCCTGGAGGAATATCTCCCACAGCAGGTCTGGGAGATATTAATGAGCCCTGGCCTGGAGGTATATCTCCCACAGCAGGTCTGGGAGCTATTAATACGCCCTGGCCTGGAGGAATATCTCCCACAGCAGGTCTGGGAGATATTAATGAGCCCTGGCCTTGAGGAATATCTCCCACAGCAGGTCTGGGAGATATTAATACGTCCTGGCCTGGAGGAATATCTCCCACAGCAGGTCTGGGAGATATTACCGTGTCCTGACCTGGAGGAATATCTCCCACAGCAGGTCTGGGAGATATTAATACGCCCTGGCCTGGAGGAATATCTCCCACAGCAGGTCTGGGAGATATTACCGTGTCCTGACCTGGAGGAATATCTCCCACAGCAGGTCTGGGAGATATTAATACGCCCTGGCCTGGAGGAATATCTCCACAGCAGGTCTGGGAGATATTACTGTCTCTGGTTTCGGAGAATATCTCCAGGTATAGTCTGGGAGATATTAATACGCCCTGGCCTGGAGGAATATCTCCCACAGCAGGTCTGGGAGATATTAATACGCCCTGGCCTGGAGGAATATCTCCCACAGCAGGTCTGGGAGATATTAATACGCCTTGGCCTGGAGGAATATCTCCCACAACAGGTGTGGGAGATATTAATACGCCCTGGCCTGGAGGAATATCTCCCACAACAGGTCTGGGAGATATTATTACGCCCTGGCCTGGAGGAATATCTCCCACAACAGGTCTGGGAGATATTAATACGCCCTGGCCTGGAGGAATATTCCACAGCAGGTCTGGGAGATATGAAGATGCCTGGCCTGGAGGAATATTCTCCCACAACAGGCTCCGGGGAGATATTACGCCCTGGTTTGGAGGAATATCTCCCACAGCAGGTCTGGGAGATATGAATACGCCTTGGCCTGGAGGAATATCTCCCACAACAGGTGTGGGAGATATTACCGTGTCCTGACCTGGTGGAATATCTCCCACAGCAGGTCTGGGAGCTATTAATACGCCCTGGCCTGGAGGAATATCTCCCACAGCAGGTCTGGGAGATATTAATACGCCCTGGCCTGGAGGAATATCTCCCACAACAGGTCTGGGAGATATTAATACGCCCTGGCCTGGACGAATATCTCCCACAGCAGGTCTGGGAGATATTAATACGCCCTGGCCTGGAGGAATATCTCCCACAACAGGTTTGGGATATATTAATACGCCCTGGCCTGGAGGAATATCTCCCACAACAGGTCTGGGAGATATTAATACGCCCTGGCCTGGAGGAATATCTCCCACAGCAGGTCTGGGAGATATTAATGAGCCCTGGCTTGGAGGAATATCTCCCACAACAAGTCCGGGAGATATTACTGTGTCCTGACCTGGAGGAATATCTCCCGCAACAGGTCCGGGAAATATTTCTGCGTCCTGTCCTGGGGGATTATCTCCCACAGCAGGTCCGGGAGATTTTAATGCGCCCTGGCCTGCAGGAATATCTCCCACAGCAGGTCTGGGAGATGTTAATACGCCCTGGCCTGGAGGAATATCTCCCACAACAGGTCTGGGAGATATTAATGCCGCCCTGGCCTGGAGGAATATCTCACAGCAGGTCTGGGAGATGTGCAGCCTGGCTTGGGGAATATCTCCCACACCAGGTACAGAGATATTACTGTGTCCTGACCTGGAGGAATATCTCCCACAGCAGGTCTGGGGAGCTATTAATACGCCCTGGCCTGTAGGAATATCTCCCACAGCAGGTCTGGGAGATATTAATACGCCCTGGCCTGGAGGAATATCTCCCACAACAGGTCTGGGAGATATTAATACACCCTGGCCTGGAGGAATATCTCCCACAAAAGGTCTGGGAGATATTAATACGCCCTGGCCTGAGGAATATTCCCACAACAGGTCTGGGAGATATTTATACGCCCTGGTGAAGGAATATCTCCACAGCAGGTGGGAGATATTAATGAGCCCTGGCTTGGAGGAATATTCCCACAACAGGTACGAGAGATATACTGTGTCCTGACCTGGAGGAATATTCCCCACAGCAGGTCTGGGAGCTATTAATGCCCCTGGCCTGGGAGGAATATCTCCAGCAGGTCTGGGAGATATTAATGAGCCCTGGCTCGGAGGTATATCTCCCACAGCAGGTCTGGGAGCTATTAATACGCCCTGGCCTGGAGGAATATCTCCCACAGCAGGTCTGGGAGATATTAATGAGCCCTGGCCTTGAGGAATATCTCCACAGCAGGTCTGGGAGATATTAATACGTCCTGGCCTGGAGGAATATCTCCCACAGCAGGTCTGGGAGATATTACCAAGTTCCTGACCTGGAGGAATATCTCCACAGCAGGTCTGGGAGATATTACGCCCTGGCCTGGAGGAATATCTCCCAGCAGGTCTGGGAGATATTATCGTGTCCTGACCTGGAGGAATATCTCCCACAGCAGGTCTGAGATATTAACATGCCCTGGCCTGGAGGAATATCTCCCACAGCAGGTCTGGGAGATATTACCGTGTCCTGGCCTGAGGAATATCCCCACATCAGGTCTAGATGTTAATACGCCCTGGCTCTGGAGGAATATCCACAACAGGTCTGGGAGATATTAATACGCCCTGGTTGGAGGAATATCTCCCACAGCAGGTCTGGGAGATATTAATACGCCCTGGCTGGGGAATATTCCCAGCAGGTCTGGGAGATATTAATGCCCGGCCTGGAGGAATATCTCCAACAACAGGTCTGGGAGATATTAACACGCCTGGCCTGGAGGAATATCTCCCACAACAGGTCTGGAGATATTAATACGCCCTTGGAGGAATATTCCACAGGTCTGGGAGATATTAATCGCCCTGCTGGAGGAATATCTCCCACAACAGGTCAGGAGATATTAATACGCCCTGGCCTGGAGGAATATCTCCCACAGCAGGTCTGGGAGATAATACGTTTGCCTGGAGGAATATTCCCCACAACAGGTGGGAGATGTCCTGACCTGGTGGAATATTCCCACAGCAGGTCTGGGGTTTAAACGCCCTGGTCGGAGGAATATCTCCCACAGCAGGTCTGGGAGATATTAATACGCCCTGGCTGGAGGAATATCTCCCCAACAGGTCTGGGAGATATTAATACGCCCTGGCCTGGAGGAATATCTCCCACAGCAGGTCTGGGAGATATTAATACGCCCTGCCTGGAGGATATCTCCACAACAGGTCTGGGAGATATTATACGCCCTGGCTGGAGGAATATCTCCCACAACAGGTCTGGGAGATATGAACACCCCTGGAGGAATATCTCCCACAGCAGGTCTGAGATATTAATGAGCCTCTGGCTTGGAGGAATATTCCCCACAACAGGTACGAGAGATATTACTGTGTCCTGACCTGGAGGAATATCTCCCACAGCAGGTCTGGGAGCTTACGCTGCCTTGGCTTGAGGAATATCTCCCCACAGCAAGTCTGGGAGATATTAATGGCCAAGCCTGGAGGAATATTCCCACAGCAGGTCTGGGAGCTATTACGCCCTGGCTTGGAGGAATATCTCCCACAGCAGGTCTGGGAGATATTATTGAGCCCTGGCTTGAGGAATATCTCCCCACAGCAGGTCTGGGAGATATTAATACACCCTGTCCTGGAGGAATATCTCCACAGCAGGTCTGGGAGATATTACTGTGTTCCTGACCTGGAGGAATATCTCCACAGCAGGTCCTGGGAGATATTAATACGCCCGGCCTGGAGGAATATTCCCCACAGCAGGTCTGGGAGATACTACCGTGTCCTGACCTGGAGGAATATCTCCCACAGCAGGTCTGGGAGATATTAATGCGCCCTGGCTCGGGGAATATCTCCCAAAGCAGGTCTGGGAGATATTACCGTGTCCTGACCTGGAGGAATATCTCCCACAGCAGGTCTGGGAGATATTACTACGCCCTGCCTGGGGAATATCTCCCACAGCAGGCCTGGGAGATATTAATACGCCTACCTGGAGGAATATCTCCCACAACAGGTCTGGGAGATAATTACGCCCTGGTTTGAGGAATATCTCCCACAACAGGTCTGGGAGATATTAATAGCGCCCTGGCCTGGAGGAATATCTCCCACAGGTCTGGGAGATATTAATACGCCTGGCCTGGAGGAATATCTCCCACAACAGGTCTGGGAGATATTAATACGCCCTGGCCTGGGGAATATCTTCCACAGCAGGTCTGGGAGATATTAATACGTCCTGACCTGGTGGAATATCTCCCACAGCAGGTTCGGGAGATATTAATGCGCCTGGCCTGAGGAATATTCCCACAACAGGTCCGGGAGATATTACTGTGTCCTGACCTGAGGAATATCTCCCACAACAGGTGTGGGAGGATATTACTGTGTCCTGGTTTGAGGAATTCCCACAACAGGTCCGGGAGATATTATCAGGTCCTGCCTGGAGGAATATCTCCCACAGCAAGTCCGGGAGATATTACTGTGTTCTGGCCTGGAGGAATATCTCCCACAACAGGTCCGGGAGATATTACTGTGTCCTGGTCTGGAGGAATATCTCCCACAACAGGTCCGGGAGATATTACTGTGTCCTGGCCTGGAGGAATATCTCCCACAACAGGTCCGGAGATATTGTCTCTGACCTGAGGAATATCTCCCACAACAGGTCCGGGAGATATTACTGTGTCCTGACCTGGAGGAATATCTCCCACAACAGGTCCGGGAGATATTACTGTGTCCTGGCCTGGAGGAATATCTCCCACAGCAGGTCCGGGAGATATTACTGTGTCCTGGCCTGGAGGAATATTTCACAACAGGTCCGGGAGATATTACTGTGTCCTGACCTGGAGGAATATCTCCCCACAGCAGGTCCGGGAGATATTACTGTGTCCTGCCTGGAGGAATATCCTCCACAACAGGTCCAAGACATTACTGTGTCTGATCTGAGGAATATCTCCCACAGCAGGTCCGGGAGATATTACTGTGTCCCTGAGTGGAGGAATATCTCCCCACAACAGGTCCGGGAGATATTACTGTGTCCTGGCCTGGAGGAATATCTCCCATAACAGGTCCCGGGAGATATATTGTGTCCTGACCTGGAGGAATATCTCCCACAACAAGTCCGGGAGATATTACTGTCCTGGTTTGAGAGAATATCCCCACAACAGGTCCGAGATATTGTGTCCTGACCTGGAGGAATATTCCCTGCCAACAGTCCGGGAGATATTACTGTGTCCTGACCTGGAGGAATATCTCCCACAACAGGGTCCGGGTAGGATATTACTGTGTCCTGGTTCTGGAGGAATATCTCCCACAGCAGGTCCGGAGATATTACTGTGTCTCTGGAGAGCTGGAGGAACATCTCCCACAACAGCTGTGGGAGATGTTACTGTGTCCTGCCTGGAGGAATATCTCCCACAACAGGTCCGGGAGATATAATGTGTCCTGGACCTGGAGGAATATCTCCCACAACAGGTCCGGGAGATATTACTGCGTCCTGGCCTGGAGTATCTCCCACAACAGCTGTCGGGAGATATACTGTGCCCTGGCCTGGAGGAATATCTCCCACAACAGGTCCGGGGGATATTACTGTGTCTGGCCTGAGGAATATCTCCACAACAGGTCCGGGAGATATTACTGTGTCCTGGCCTGGAGGAATATCTCCCACAACAGGTCCGGGAGATATTACTGTGTCCTGACCTGAGGAATATCTCCCACAACAGGTCCGGGAGATATTATTGTGTCCTGGCCTGGAGGAATATCTCCCACAACAGGTTCGGGAAGAAAGCCACGTCATCTTCTATAAACTATTGAGTTAATATTTACTTCAGATTTTTCTTTGGTGTGAGATTTATGGAAATTACATTACGAGTTTCTGGCTGAGACAACTGTGTGAAATATAAACTGTCCGGAGAATCTGTTGACGTGTGAATTACTACCTCAGACCATTATTTCATATACCTGAAGTTCAGTTTAACACTAATCAAGATAACAACAATTTTAGTCAGTGATCTTTTCGAGAACCAAAAATATGTATATTTTCCTGGGTGGTGTAGAGGTAGGGAGTGTAGGGGCGGGTATTGTTGACTTGATATACATGAACAATAGTGCCTTTCTGACACTGCCGCGAGTCTGGCGTGTTCTCCTTAAAGGTGACACACCAACACCTCTCGAGAACCATTAGAACATTAATAATATCTTTAAGAGTGTCTCAGAACCGAGCCATTACCATGCTTGATCGAGAGAAACAAGTTAGACTACATTACAAACATATGACGCTATCAAATATTTACAAACTGTTCTTTCTTCCCCAGATGTGGACTCCTGCCTAATTATGCATTAGGTGTAAGTTAATGACCGGGGTGTGTGTTGTATTACTCTCCGTACCCTAAACTGTGGTACGCTGGCGTGAGCACACACACATACACATACATACATACATACACACACACACACACACACACACACACATTAATATCAACAAGAACAAACACATTATGCTAATTACCATTGCTGGCTTTCTCTACAATGTATTCAACTTCACAATAAACACTTTGAATTTAATCCTCTACTATTACTAATAACCAAGTTCATTCTTCTTCCACCGACGTAAATATTGACCGATGTTAAGTGAACCACACGACAAGTTCTTCACGTGACAAGTTTTCCTTCTTTCTTATGGACGCATTCTTACTCTTCACCTTGTTCTTGAAGCATCTATAATTTCACTACTTCTTTCTCATTACCCAAATAATAGCCCCAAACCTGTCTAGAGGTTTTTATCTTATACTGTTTAAGGATTGTTTCTTGAAGGGTAGAGAAATGAACATTGTGGAGAAAATATATCAATTCGTAAAATTTACTTTGGTACAGCCGGCGAGAAAAACAAATATTCTGTCTTTTCTGTTAACTTCAGGAGCAATACATTTATTTTGGTCGGTTGATATGTTGAGCATGCAAAATAATGATCACACACTCTCTCAGTCTTTAATATTTAGACATAATTTAGCTGTATTTTTTTTGCAGATCTATGTTATATATTACTTACTTTCTAAGCTACTAAAAACCAACACTCTCCTCTGGTTTCAAGACAGCATTATAATCGTCTTGTTGTGTAGCACCTGCTTATCATCGTCTTTATGACAGGCAGGAGAAGACAGATATAATTTAATTATGTACTGTATGTCAGACATATTAGTAGTTGTTTCGGCGTTATAGTGTATAGATGTGTGTGTGTGTGTGTGTGCACAGGGTGGTGTGATGCGTCTTGTGTGGCAGCATTATGTTAGTGTTAAGGTGGAGGCAGTGTTTGCTCCCTATCGCTTTCAGCTACCGCCGCTGGCTAGCCCTCGTGGTGAACAGAGAAGCAACTTGCACAAATCTTCGCCTGCCAGTACACAGCCTTTTCATCATCAAGACTCCTTCTGTGCCTCCTGGTGACAACACACGGTAATTGGGTGCCTCACGGGCCCAGGCTAGACGAGAGCAGGGATCTCAGAGCAGCAGTGAGCCCCAGAAGGATGGCGCATTGGCTCACTGGAATGTGGACACGTCCTGGCGCCTAACAACCACTGCCCCGCTGTCTTGCGGATTAACCTTGGTAGGAAGGCTCACGGACTAAACCCTGAACGAAAATCTGCGGTGGAGCCCCCTATCAGGCAGAAATGCTTAACAGAGCTCCAACAAGACCCCAACGGCGGTATAGGCAGAAGAGACACGAGAACACAGCAAACTACACCGGCGGATAAGGCAATGAATGATGGGCAAGCTACTAAAGTGAAACCCAAGAAACTGAGCTATCAGTAGTCCTTTGCAACTCACCCTCCTCCCAGTCGTTGCAACATTTGCACCACCGGATCAGGAAAACGGAGAGCCTAGATGTGTGGTTGCAGCCTGTGCTGCTGCCTCACCACATAAATCAACTAATGCACAGCCATCATCCAGCTCATTATACTTCTCATCAACATCAAAACCCCTATACCCCCAAATATCCGTGCGACAGATGAGTGACGACAGGGACAGGCAGAGATGACTGCCGAGATTCTACATTCAAAACTTCACATGGGCAACATAGATAAGATGGTCGTTTATTCATTGAGATCATGGCAGCAGTGCAATCCGGTCCTGTCTATGCGACTGAGCAGCCCTCTGAGACCCACTCTGCTCACCCCACATGGGAGGGCGAGGAAAGGTGCCCTAAACATAGGCCCTGAAGAACCAACCTGATTGGGCAACTGTACCCAGTAAGGTCACCCTATGCAGTCGAAAATGCAATCATAATCACAGTAAAACAAAACCAAACTATATAACCTCTTATGGTCGCTGCATGGAACGTCAGGACCCTTCTGGATACTGGCAGAAATGAGCGTCCTAAAAGAAGATTCCTTTTGACAAAAGAGCTGGCTAGGTATAACATCGACATAGCAGCCATTGCCGAGTCCCAGCTCCCAGACGGCGACTCACAGAATAGGGGTATGGCTATACCTTCTTCTGGAAGAGTAAGCCTGCTACAGAGAGAAACCACATATATGGAGTAGGCTATGTCATCCACCAATGCATCCTGTTGGGATCAACGAGTGCCTCATGAAGGCTCGAGTCCTACTGAATTACTCACATCATGCCTTCTTCATTAGTGTATACACCACAACACTAAATGCAGATGACGACATCAAGGGGGCCCTTTTATGCCAACCTTGACAAGGTGCTAAACTCTATCAGCAGAGAAGATAAGGTTGTGCTCCAAGGTGACTTTAATGCCAGAGTTAGCAGAGATGCTTACAATTGGCAAGTGTGCTGCACACAACCTCACTATCACCAATACCTTGTTTAGGCAGGCGGACAAGTTCAAGGGTTCGAGGCAACACCCACGACGCAAACACTGGCATCTCATTGACTACATTTTTGTCATAGAAAAAGATCGCCTAGATGTCCTCATCACCCAAGTCAGGCGTGGCTCAGGCCACTGCAACACTGATCGTCAGCTAATCAAACAAGCTATCACTTCACGTCGCCCCAAATCGGCGAGGGCAACAAGCCTCCAGAAGAGGTTTAAACACTAAGCGTCTGGAGGATCCATTGGTAGCACATGCCTTCAGAGAGCAGCTCGAACATAGGCTGATAAACATCCCGACAACAAAACCCAAATCCAGTGCTAGATGAGGTATTCTCGACACAATCATGACAAAAAATGCAGAGACCCTTGGCCACATTGAAAGAATACATCAGGACTGGTTTAATGAAAATGCCCTGGAAATCAATATACTCGTCAAAGCTAAACTGTTTGGCAGAACAATCTGTAGTATCGAACCAAAGCTGATACCTCGCAAGAAGAAAGTGGCGGCTGTTACAACCTTCACTCCCTCTTCTAGGACTCACTACAGGATGTATAGTCAGCCCATAGGCCCATTATATCTGAGGAGACTCTGAAGTAACAGCTTCTGTTAACAGAGAGATTAAATGTTAGACACAGACCCTCACCTTATTTCTGGCTAACAACCTCCTAACAGCTGACAGGTGTTTATTTTAATACCACTGTTCCCTTAAAACTGGTTTAATCAAAACACAGCTTTAAACGATACAACAAAGTATATTTAACAACAAAATATAATGAATAAGTGGTCTCCATCCATGCACATACAAAAGGCCACAAATCAATTCACTTAAAATAATGTTATCTCCACCAAATACAATGCTCTCTCACTGCTACAATAATCTTTAGACTATAATGAACATATGACACTTTAGTTAACACCATAATTATCCATGATTGTCCAGATAATAATAGATAAATGTGCACCACCCAAGCTTGTACCTCCTATCCTCTTCAACCTAGCTACAGAGAACCTCGCCAAAACAAAAATGTTCCAATACTTTCTTGTTTCATCAACATATAATTTCTAATTTTCTTATACTTCACACCTGCTTCTTACAGTCTTTCATAACTGTATAAAAAATAAAAATACATTCTACAAAGTTTACATAATGAAACAAATACTATTATACATACTAATATAAAAATAATGAAGTATTTTTAAAAGTCTTTACCATAAGCTTTAAATTTTGATTCTAAGAAAAACAGGACACAATAGAAACTAAATTCATTGGGTAACTGAAACAAATATTGAGGGAAAGGGGAGATGACCGTTACACGGCCTAGTGTGAACTTCGCAATCTAAAGAATGACTGATTTAAAAATAAAGCATGTAACATGCAAAAACTTGCAGAACACCAAAAGATGTGCAAAATTTTCAATTCCACTAAAACATTTCATGGCGCATCCCCCCTGTTCATCCGATGGTAACTCCCAAATTAAAGACAAAGTGCTGGAAAGAGCACTACCATGCGCTGGTTAATCGAAACACC